TTAAAATAGTAGCTTCTTGGAACGAATAAATTATGTGGTATGATCATCCTAGCGTAGCCCAGAATCTTACTACTCTCATGAAAAAATGTGCAAAGAAACTTAGAGTCGATTGTATAACATCAGAAGATAATGACAGATAATCATTAGTGGAAAATTTTCTCTTGTTATGGAAAGAGGAAGTGCCTACTACAATCAACAAAAAAGCCTTAGAAGATCAAATTGCTCAAAAACGACAGAAAAAAGTGATTTTACCATCAAAAAGTGACATTAAATCATTATATAATTATCTTCAGGAACAGTGTTTCATTTATTTAGAAAATTTAACTGATGAATTTCAAACTAACGTATAGGTTCTTTTGATACAAAGTACATTGATTTTGGTCCAAACTTCCAAAAAATACTAGAGAATATGGAGCATAATATAAAGGATTTACTATGAGAGGTAAACGAGAAAGAATTGTTCCAGTTTTCATTAGCCCAATTGTTGTAAACTGCATCGATTTAATACTTAAATATCGTAAAGAAGCTAAGATTCCTTCTAGCAATAAGTATATTTTTAGTAAACCATGTGGAAGTAAATTATCAAAAACATACTTTAGAGCATGCCCTCTGATGAGAAGATTCGCAAACGATTGTGGTGCACTGATACCGAGCTTTTTGAGAGGAACTACACTAAGAAAACATATAGCTACCTATGCAGCAATGTTAAACATAGATGAATCCCAAGTTGATCGGCTAGCTAACTTTATGGTGCATAATAAAGATATTCATGAAAATCTATATAGAATGCCTGTTCCAGTTGCAGAAATAACGGATGTATGACGATTGTTAATGTCCGCAATTGTCAATGATGACGAAGAAGGTAATGAAGCAAGTGATGAAGAAAAAATGATTCTAATTACGATGATGTGAATAGTAATCCAGAACTAGATACCCACGAACAAGAGAAAAGCATCTCACGCTTTAACTTCAGAAAATGATAAAACCTTTAAACGAAAAAAGATAGAAGTTGCTGGTAAGTAATTATAAAATTGCTCTATATAAAAATTACTCATCTTACATAATTGTATTTGTATTGATACATACGTATATTTAGGTAGGAATTATCAGCGAATACATTATTTTATACTATGACTATTATTTTATTTACACAATGGAAAAACAAGACAAAAAAAGTCCGATAGGGAAAAAGAAGCAGTGGCTAAATATTTTAGAGATATTCTGGTGTTGTCAAAGTTACCTAGCCTACAAGGATGTCAAACCTGTATAAGTATGGATCGTAAAATACTACATCATAGATTTGCAGAATATCTCAAGACATAGATCGATAACCAAAGACGAGCGAAAGATAGGAAAAAGCGTACGCTAACAATAAAAAGCTAAACAACAGTAAAAGAAAGTTTTTATCATTTTATTTCGTTAAATATTATACCTACATTTTTTTTACTCCGATTAACATGTAATTCTAATCATAATTTTTCATTAAGTAGAAAAAATTCGGATTGAAGTCTTTATAAAAAAAGAAGAGTGAGATGTCTCAATATTGATAAAGATATGATTCTTAAAAATGGTTAATTTTACTTTTTTTTTGCATTTTTGAAGAAATATTGAAACATTTTGATCTTAGTCGAAATTTGATGACAATTACGTTTTTTCTGTTATCTATATTTTATGAAAATAATCAAACATACTTTATAATGTTGCGTTACTGAATATAATAAGACATCTTAGTAAAGACAGAAATTTGGTTTTTTATTTATCTTTAATTCTTCTCATACGTTCTAAAAAAATACACAAATTTTTTTTTTTATTTTATGTTTTTTGTATATTATGTTATTTTCTATTAATTTATGTTGTTAAGCGGAATAATATGTTGATATATACTACAAATGAATTTTCAAGAAATCCAACATTCTGTTGATAATTGTTTATAAAAAACCTACAAATTGGATATTAAAAAATTTCAAATAATTAAAAATTACGCATTCGTTTATAAAATTGATCTATAACAAATGCTGAAAAAAATTTCCAAAAAATTGTTTTATACACTTCACATAAGGATATGAAACTTTGTTGTACATAATTTTCATATTATAAAATAACTTCAGTCCCAAAATAAGGGTAAAAGAATCCAAAAACAACATTTCGATTTTTTACGGTATTATAAAAAGATATTATAAAAAATCGAAAAACTCATTTTTTTTTAAATTCTAATCGAAAAATGTTCTGAAATCGATTCTGAACATTCTAGAATCTTCCCAGATTTTTTCATATATTAGAAATATTTTTTTTCTAAATGATTATTAAAAAGGCGTTCAACGGCATATTCTTCCGGAGCGCCCAAAATGCTCGATTTTTAGGGCGCTGTACATTTTTACCTGTCCACAATAAACAGGTGCTTCCACGGACTTTTTTTGTAGAGAATTCGATTCTCTACAAAAACAATGTTGACTTTTTTTTCATATCTCTTACCGTTCTCGCTATGTAAGCGGTGAAAGGTGGAAAACGCAATTTGCCAGACTGTGACACTCAATAAACAATAATAATTATTGTTTCCGAGTAATAAAAATTTGCACAAATATTTTCCTCATTACCCTTTACAAGAATATCTAACCAAAAACTTTTTATCATCATTCTATAATTAATGCACGATAACATGAGGCCTAAATTTACGGCTACTAGACTATTTCGAAAACATTTTGGAGATAAATAAAATGTTCATTTACACTTTTACTGATGATATTAATGTCATCCAGATAAATTAAACAAATTTTGCTAAGGAGACCTTCTAATACGATGTTTGTAAGTTTGACGAAAGTGGCAGGAGCATTACAGAAGCCAAAGGAAAGAATCTTAAATTACCAAACCTTATTCTTGATACAAAAAGCTGTTTCAGATCTATCTTCTGTAGCAATTTCAACTTGCCAATATACAGTTTTTAGATCAACGGCAAAAAACTATTGAGCACCATGAACCATATCCAATATGTCTTCTTGATGAAAAATTAGCGTTGAATCCTTTATTGTGACATCGTTTAATTTACGATAGTCAACACAAAATCTAATTTCATCACCTTTTTTTGGGACAAGAATAAAAGGAGAAGCCCAAGAACTATCACAAGATTTTATTGCATCCTGTTGTTTCATTTCCCTCATAACTGTATCTACTTTAACCCTATAATGAACGAGAATATGACGAGAAGCTTGTTTAGCTTGTTTGATAAGAAGTTCATTACCAACGTCCGTTTAATGCTGTTACACTTTTCTACATCAAAAGAATTATTTTGCGCAGATATTTATATTCTTTAATAAAAATTCTTCGAAACAAAGTTTATCATTTACATAAAAAAAATTTGAAGATCTTTTAAGAAAATCTAGAATAAATTATGAAAATTTATGTAAAGAAGAATTAATTTTATCAATCAAAACAACATTAATCTCTTCTGAGAATTTTTTTTTAAAAAGGTCTTTGAATCCATTAAATAAACCATGCTTGATTGAGAAATCTAATCCGAAAATATATTCTTCTTTAATTTCAACCAAAACAATCTCTAAATTGACCGTCATATTTAAAATATTGATTTCTACAATATCAAAAAATATTCAAATCTAACAATCACCAATATGTAAAATAAGTTGATTTCTTAAGTTTTGTTGCAAAGAAAAAATTCAGTACGTTTCATGAGATATTCAACATAAAAACTCATAACTAACTAACTTGGCGTGACTGTTAGTTATTAATTGGCTTTAATGTTCGTAACACTATCGAAATTTTATGCTTCCATAAGAACTTGACAGTATTATGCTTTTTACTTGGTTCACATTTTCGTACAGCCCAGAAAGGGGGCTATTGTTGATAAGATTAATGATTAAAAACCTAATCCATGCAGTACATTCTTGAAAAATCTATTTTTTTATTCCACCAAAAAACGGTCACTCGTCACGTAATCTTGTTGAAAACTGAATTTCTTCGCATACTACAATTGCATTCGTTATGGATAATCAAGAGCAGAAGATATGCAACAAATCAGAGTTCTTCCAACAAAGAATTTTTTGTATTAAAGCAACGTTACTTATGTAATAGTGCGTAATCCGATACGTAATAAAAACAGGATCAATTAATTTATAACCATGAAATCGTTGTCAAGGAGTAAAAATTAAATCTTATAAAAGAAATCGGACTATTTCCGGATATTTTGAATATCCATAAAATTATCCCATTACTTGAAATACACTTATAGAGCAATACGTTTCTGAAAGTGGTCCTTTCAACCTACAATATTACTATTTAAATATTTTTTAATCAACCTATTTTTATATGACGTAATTATGCACAATATTTAAATAAAGTCACGGGCTGTGGCTAATATGATAGTCCAGAAACGGTACAAATACAATCAGGGTTAATAGAAAATCAAACCTTTCATCTTAAGCCAAGTTTTTTTTCACGTAAAATTGAACGAGGATTTCGAAAAAATCATTCGCAGGCGTAGAAGTGTACGCGTCATTTTGTTTTTCTGTAACAAACAATTCTTGCCCGCTCGAGCCCGCACATCATAATCAATAACTTTTTGAATATTCAAGAATCGCTAATGTTTTATAAGAAATTCTTTATTTTTTACAGTGCATGAAGATTTCTGCCATGTCATTTTTTTTATTTCCGACCTATTCTTCGAGATATTTGATCGCAAAAAATGAAAAAGATGTTGATTATTGTTTTATAGTTACCATGCCAATTTGTTGGTATTACAGAATTTTTTCTAATCACATTTGTTCTAATTTATTCAGAATTATTAAGGAAATTACATTACATTACAATCAGCATGCTTGCTTGCCCGTGCCGGCTCTAATGCAGTTGAAAGCAGTAGGTGGTCAATACTTGTTATATATCAAGTTAACGTTTATGTTAAGTGTATACACATCTTTTGAACTATCAAAAATATTTTAGTTGTAATCATGTGATGATTTTTTCCATGATAATATTTATCGCTTTTACATTACCTCTAAAATTTCATCGCCAATCCTAAGCTGATCAGTTGCTACGTTGCATTGTTTTTTATCAAACCCAGCCACAAAACTGCCCATCATTGTCCTATCTTTATGACCAGCAAGAAATAGACCAACATGTCGCCCATTCCGTTGCAGAGTAACTAGCATCACTTCATTACTAATGCTTGAATATTTTTTCTTTATTTTACCTAAACAGAAAGACATAAACGGTTATTGTTAGAACATGAAGTTCACAATACATGTTTACACGACAATAAAAGACTTAACTTAATTCTGTTGAACTTCATCAATCGAACATTTTGTTAAGATATTCGAAAAAATAAATCATTGTTTTTGGAGTCAAAAATTAAATTCATTGTCTATGTCAATGCTTAAGTACGTTTAACTAATTGTAAGCTGAATGCCGGGAAAATGTAGCATAGGCAAGCAATGAATAGAAAAGTGAACACTTGTTGAGTATGACTGCGTTTTATTTTAGAAAAGAAAACAATTCATTTCTAACAGCAAACCCTACTCATCGGAACTTGTTTTTTAATATTAGAGATTTGGTTGAGCTTTTATAAAACTTATGGAACTTAAATCAGTTGAAAATGAAAAGACAACGTGTTTGCAAGCGTTGAAAGCTCGTTAACAACTGCAACAAGTTGCAATTGGTGTCCGTAGACCAATTACACTGGTACGAAATCTACGATCGGCGAGGTTAGAGAAGATGGTTTGAGTTAGTTATTACGTTCTGGAAATACTGAGTTTCAATTGAAGTAGTATTAGTCTTAAGTTATACTAGTTTAGTTATTCTGGTGAATAAAAATAACTTGGCACCCTAGGTAAAATAGAAGTAGTCTCCCAGGGATGGTTCTAATCAGGATTCCTACCTGAAGGAAGATGCGTTATGGAGTACACTCTTTAAGAGGCAGAAAAATAACGTTACAATTATATACATATTCCAACGAAAAGTTTCTGAGCAAGGTAAAAATTATTGGAGAAATTATTAAAAGTAAACTTGGTTAAGGCAGGAGGGCTGTACGTAGTGGAGATCTGGGGATGGAAAAGGAGAACAAAAATAAGGACCTCATTTGGACAATGCTGCAAGATCGCAATAGGTGTGAGCATCAACACACCCGAATATATTTGAAGAACGGAAGCTGGAGTGGAGAGCTCATACGTCAGGTCAGTTAGGACAGCGCGTAGGTTTATATGTGATATACTCAATATAGAAGCCGACAAATGGCCTAAAGAGTGTCTGAGAGAAGAAATCAGACAGACACTTAACGGTGCACCGTTGAAATGGAGTATCGAGATAATGGACACATTTAAGAAAATGAAGTGTGAAAGAATCTTGGAGATGATTTGGAATGGAATTCAAACATCGGAAATAAAAGAACTTTTCAGAGCGGAAATTGAATGGTTAAGAGCATGTGAATTGAAAAAAGACAAAGACGAGATTGTCGACTCGAGGTTTAGCAGGATCTACAAATTGGTTGTAAATGCTCATTCACCTGGAGAATACTGGATGGACAAAGATATGAGCTCATGGGTTAAGGAGACATGGTCACGACTTCGGTGCAATTGTTGCAGTATTTACGAAAAGAGTGGGTATAAATCTTGGCTATGTAGACTGCGCGGAAATAACTATAAAAAAATCGAGCATATTCTTATATGTAGGAAGGCAAGGAAGTAATCAACAAAAAGTGTGATAGTGACATCGACAAGTGACTAGATGGAGCTAATGAACCAGAGGTGTACTGGCTATTAGCTCAGGCATTCAGAGGTTCACTAATTAAAGCCATTTGTGTACTGTACAAAAGTTTTGAAAAAGCAGTTAGAGAAAAGAGTGGTGGACATTGGAATTAACAGTTCGCAATATGTTAAAAACCTTGTTAGATTATTTCATTTTTATAGGATAGTACAAGCTTATATTTTTTATAAAAAAATTTTTTTCAATGAGGGAATAGTTGATTGTTGAATAATTATAACAAACTAAAATTATTATAAATATGAAAAAAAAATTTATCTACTTGTTGCATATCGATTCTCATTGATTTTCTCCAGCATCAAAAGTAAAAAAAACTTCTGAATAGAGTAACAAAAGAATAGTTGATTGTCAAATAATTGTTAAAAAGAAATTTGTTCCAAATATTGCAAATCGTGTCCTGTGAGTCGCTCTTCGATTTTTTCTTATTGTTTTTACTTACATATTTTCTGTGTAGTAGTTAATAATTTAACAACTTTGACATTAGCTAATCATAATTGAATGCTCGTATGTTTCATAAGCGGTTATGATTTTCTGCGACACATACCGTTCACAACGCAAAATTCGTTGCATAGACATTTAAGTTTACTGTATCGTAACATCTTAACTATTTCTGCAGATCTTGGGTAATATCGAAAAAAAAAATGAAATCCGTACAAAACAGGTATATTCTGTTTTTTTAATTTGTAAGCAAAATTTGTAATGTAACCATGATCAATTCTCTTTATCTATGCGTCGAACAACTGGGCAAAGCTGTGAAGAATTCATCTAAAAATAAGTCAATAGTTTCAATTATCAAAAAATAACTTACAACGAACAATTAAATTACTGCCAATTAGAGAATGACAAAAATCTTACGATTTTTTCTTGCATTTTATGTGCAATTAAAAAATAACAATAATTTCATTTTACTTTTCACGATAAATACTAACATTAAGATTTTTTTTGTAGACAACATGAGTAAAATATAGGAATTCCTAAAATTCTTCAGAAATGAATCAACAATACCACGAAGAGTTCATAAATTTCACAATAACAATAAAGAGAAGCTTGGTGCAAGTAGATGATTTTAGTAATTTTTTTTTGACGAAATAGAATTCAAGTCTCCGAGAGTCGTTATATTAGAATGTGAGCTTGGCGTCAATTTTCACAGATGTCCGAAGATATCTGTTTTGTCCGGATCATATTTTATATAATTATAAAAAATATCTAGGTTATAATATAACTGACTGTGGACATTTATGCTTAAAATTTTTAAATGACCAACTATTAATATGATGTAGGAAAAAAATATGTTCCATTTTCAATTTAAGTGTTATACAGTAAACATCATGAGTGATTCTTTGATATTAACACTTACTGGAAATTCATCATTATTGGAGGTTTCATATTTTCCTCCAATTGAATTATCATCAACAAAATACTATGTTCTAAGATTTGTTGATTTTCTCACATTCAATTGAATTCCAAACATATATAAAGGTAACAATAAATTTTGATATCAAATAAAAGATAAATGGCGTACAATTACAATTCCAACTGGTATTTCACCTTAAACATATTCATACATTTCTAACTGTGACAGATCCTACATTAAATCTTTCATTAGGAGTTGAAAAAAGTACACTTGTCACAAAACTACATAGTGAGAAATCAGCTATTGATTTTACATCTGAAGATTCTATCGGTGAATTGATAGGTTCTGAACGAAAAATTTTTAAGGCAGGAGAAATATATACGTCAGAAAAACCAACATCAATATTAACTATTAATGCAATATGTGTAGAGTGTAATATCATAAGTGGACAATAGAAAAATAATCAATTTGCTCATACAATTCATGCATTTTTTCCATCAGTCCCACGAGGATATAAGATTATTGAATCACCAACAATAGTCTTTTATCTTCCAATCACGGTACGGGAAATACATAATTTACCACTACGAGTTGTAGATCAAGACGGAAAATTAATTAAACATCGATTTGAAGTAACTACTATAAGGTTACATTTAAAAAGAATATAATGGTTATTGTATATGATAAAGACTTTGAAGCAAAAAGCTATAATATTCTACAACCATGTGCAAATCTACACAGTTTGAAGAAAACAGTCAAACAAGCAACCTCTTAGAAGAGGAGAGCAGTGGAACAACTAACTCATCAAAACGCTCAGTTTCTAGAAAGTCTTGGTTTTGAGCTAAATGAAGAATTGAGAAATTTAAATTCAGTTTTGCGTGTATGATATCATGGGGGAGTCGACGCTACAAATCAACAGGAAAATTATTTAAGATGAATTCATTTCTCACAATGAGATTCATGCATATCAACCATACGGTTCATCATTATAGAAAAATAATGGTGAGATACGTATTGCTGTATACCATAAAGATTTATATGTTTTACCGAGTAAATGTTCAATACATTTGAACTCATCATATTTGAAAATATAAGATATGAATTAAATAGTGTCGTAATCTATCCTAATAAAAATGTTGGCATTACAACACTTATAAAAGGATTTCCATTATTTACTTTGGAGCAAGAATATTCTTAAAAAAACAGTAGAATGATGCTTGACAACAGAAAATTATGTGACGCAAATGGAGATTTCGATGTAATCATTCCATTGAAATTATTATTTGGATTCGCTGAAGATTATAAAACAAGTTATTGTTAATTGTAAACATAAATTAATACTTGTAAGAGCTAGTACTGATTTGAATGCTACGTATCAAATTGGAGCAACAACAATTGAGGAAAAAATCAAAATTACTCTTAATAAAATTGAATGGTTAGTTCCATATGTTCCAATGTCTGATACAGAGAAAGTTGATATGTTAGGTTACATTAGCGAAGATCCATCAATCTCAGTAGCTTTCAGATCATGGAAATTATATAAATATCCATCTCTTCCCATCACAACAAAACATATAAGGTCAGTTAAGACAACAAATTAATTGGAGAAACCAAGATGTATCATATTTGCGTTACAAACTGGACGCAAAAATGAAATAACGAAGCGAACAGATGAATTTGATTCTAGTAAAATTAAAGACTTTCCTGTTCCAATGATTCCGGTGTTCCATAATTTATAATACGTTGAGAGTATTTTTCTTGTCGTTCTTCAGTTTTGAAATGATAATCTTTGCTTTGATTTATATTAAAATAATACCCACTAAATGGTAATATTCCTTTTTTACATGTTGTATTATCAAAACTCAAATCGGTAAATTTTAAATATGGTTTTGATTATTTCTGAACAACTTATTAAATGTTTATTTCGGAACTTCTACGTAGATAACTTACAAAGGTATTTTTTTATGATCATACACATGCATATATGTTCTGGTATTAGGAATGCTATTAATGTCACAATTTTAAATGTATTGATAAATTTTATTGTAATCATTATAATTCATAAAACATTCATGATGAAC